AAAGGAGGGAAAAAACCAGCAAAAAGGATGGAATTAAAAATGTGGTGGGGGGGTTGTTGAACGGTGTTTTCCGCACTCCATTAAAGCGACATCAAAAGGCTTTTCAAAATATTTGTTTTATGGTGAAGATACAGTTTGGAAGCGTCTAAGCTCCTGTCCCTGCGGCACAGCGAGAAAAGGAGCGGAGTTTCTGCAAAAGGACCTGGAAAGGCACCAGCCGGGCGGCCGGGGGCATTGGCCTGCCAGCCCCTCTGTCCTATAGGAGGACAGAGGCCCAGAGAGGCGGCGTGGCACAGCCAAGGTCACACGTTGAGCCCCTGGGAGGTTAGAAGTCTGGTTTGGGTTGAAACTGTACGTATTCCTCCTTAAAGAGGCCTTTGAGTCCTAACCCCTGGCACCCCAGAGTGGGACCTTATTGGAAATAGGATTGTTGCAGACATCACTGGGGAAGATGAGGTCATCCTGGAGAGAGGGTGGGCCCTCAACCCCACGTAAGGGGAGAGAGACCCGTGGCGGGGAAGCCCCAGGTGAAGACATGGGGACACACAGTGGGGAGGCAGAGATTGGAGGGACATTGCTGCGAGCCAAGGAACCCGCCAGCAGAAAGAAGGGAGGAAGAGGCGAGGAAGGGTTCCGCCCAGAGCCTGGGATGGAACGTGGCCCTGCCCACCCCTGGATTTTGGATGTCTGGCCTCCAGAATACGTTTCTGTTGGTTTAAGTGCCCCCCAGGTGGTGGTATTTTGTTATGGCGGAAGCCAGCACAGCCTCTGGGACATGCGTCCCAAGTCCCAGCTCCAGACACTCCCCCTGGGGACTCCCCTGGACTGATTCCACCCCGCTGTGCCCTGATCCCCACGTAGCCGGATGTCACTGGCCTTCCCCAACGTGAACAATGTCTGTGGTTCTCGCTACCTAGACTGTAGGAACCTTCCCAAATTCGGATTCAGTTCTCGAGTTTCCTGACCAAATATGCCTGCCCCTCCCGGCCTCCCCTGGGGTCACCCTCTGCCTTCACCCCTGCCCTCTCTCCCATCTCTCCTTCCAGCCCAGCCTCCCCTGCTCCCTTGCTCCCCAGCCCCCCACAACCCCGAACATGCTCCGAGTGCTGTTGCCTCAGAGCCTGGGTTCTCCCTCTGCCTGGAATGCCCTCCCCACAGACATCCGTCCACAGGGCTCACTCCCTCTCCCCCCTGGACACTTTCTCGGATGTCACCTTCTCAGTGAGGCCCATGCGGACCCCTGTTTGCAAACACGACCTGCACGCCCCACCCCCATGCTCCTGCTCCCACTTAGCAGGCCTGCCGTCGTATAATTTTTACCCATGCTATGCCCCTGTGCACTGCATGGGTAGACGGCACCCTCGGGGAGAGCGGGGACCTCATCTCTCTCGCCTGGCACCTAGTAGACCCTCCATCCCTCTTTGCTGGATAAATGACGCTCCCCGGAGCCGGGCCCGGGCTAGGCACCAGGGAGGCTGATCCAGGGACTTTAAATGGCTCACCAATGTCACAACCCAGCAGCTCTGCTCCGGGGCCTTCTGGAGGAGGGGTGGTCATAAGTGAGTAGGCAAGCCGTGGTAGGAGGGCCTGGCAAAAGCGTGGTGGCAAGAAGCAAGGGCAGCAAGCTCCCGTCCCCCTCCCCCCGCCCCGAGGCTGTCGTGACAGTCACGGGCTGGGAGGTGGGCGGGCGGCCTGCGTGTCAGCCTCCCCCACGAGGGCTCTGCCTGAGGAGGCAGGAGGGGACAAGCAAGCAGGGACAGACCATTTCTGGGGTTCGGAATGTCCACTTGTCAGCCCCTAACCCTCGCCGCTTGGTGTCACCTGACTGTGCCTGAGGCACGTCGAGCTGAGCGACCACGTCCTTCCAGCTCTGCACACCCACCTGCCGGTCAGAACCCGCGGGGTGGGAAGGGGCCCCCGTCCCCTTCAGACCGATTTAGACCACGGAGGGGGCTCCCGGTCTTGCGGACCCGGCTGGGAGGAGCAAGGCTGGAGCCGGCCACGGAAGGAACTGGAACGGGGGCAGGGGGCTCGCCACACCTCTGTCTCCCCTGCCCTGTCTGGGCCGCTGTCCCCCTTACCCGGAGGCCCGGGAGCGGGGTCCGCTCAGCTCAGCAGCAGCCGTGGGCCGAGTCCCAGGGCGGAGGCGGGCTGTGTGAGCTGAGCTAGAGCCAAGCGGGAGCCTCTCGTGGGACTCGGGGCTGGAGTGGGGGGGCAGGTGGGGTGCTGGGCAGGGCGGCGGGCCCCCGCGCCGGGAGGGCATTCACCCCGACAGGAGCGGGGGGCTCCGGGGCAGACAAAAGCTCGCGTCCTGCAGGCCCTGTCCTGTCAGCACCTGGCGCGAAATCAAAGGTCTCTGAGTCAAGACAGGCCCCATCTGAGGACCAGGGTGTGGGGGGAAGAGTTGTCAGAGTTGGAGTCTGAGCCTGGCTCGGGACTCTTTCTTCCAACATGTTCTGGTCGTTTCTCCTCCGTGAGACTCAGTTTCCTCCCCTGTCAAATGGGGGGATGACCGGCTCTGCTTCAGAAGGGTTTCTGTGGGGGTCAGCCACGCAGGAGCACCTTACAAACCCTGAACTTGCCAGGCCCCTTCCTCTGGGGATGGAGGGAGGGATAAGCTTGGACGGCGAGGCCGCAACGGCCCCCAGAAGTGGGTTAGCGGGAGTGAGGGCCCAGGCGGCAAGCTGGTGCCGAGGCAGGCGCCTGGCATGAAGTGAAATTGCTTATCAGAGAAATAATGCTGAAAGTAAAATAAATCAGACTTCGCACTGGCGTCGTAATTTTAAAAATTAATTAAGAATAAAAAGAAGATGCATCTCGAAGGAAAGGAGAAGTCTAATTTTGACAGACAGTAATTAATTCCCCCGTTTAGGGATTCATGAACGGCCCGAAGTACAAATTGCTCCTTTGCAGCGCCTGAAATTCCCTGGGGGCCTCCTCAGGGCTCCGCGGGGGACCGAGGGCCTGTCACAGGGAGGTCACTTCTAGGGGCCAGAATCCGGGCCCTCCGCCCCCCAAGACTGAGTCCTGAATGTATTGCTCTGACTGACAGTCCCCGTGAGGGGTGGCTGGGGGGCTCCCTCCCTGGTCACGTCTCCGTCAGGCACAGGGGACCTTGGAAGGGAGCTGCCACCGTGCCCTGAGGGCGTGGGCGCTGAGTCCCCACAGGGAACCAGGCCGAGCCTCCGCCCTCCCTGACCGAGCCCTGAGCCCTCGGGAACACGTTCTGCATGCTGTGCTGGGACTGGGGAGGGAGAAGGGACTGGGGGGTGCACAGAGAGGGAGGGGGGCTCTGAAACAAGTCTTAGGGGATTATGGAGGGACCATCCGGGGAAAAAGGGGAGTGGGGCATTCCAGGCACACAAAGCACGGGGGTGCGTGTGTGCGTGCGTGCGTGTGTGTGTGTGTGTGTGTGTGAAACAGCAGGGCTCCAGGAGCTGCTAGAAAGTGCCCTGTCTGGAGGAGGGTATAAAAGGCATGCAAGACGCAGGTGGAGTGGGCATGGGGAGGTGGCCTCGAATGCCAGACCCGGGAGCGTGGATTTTATCCTGAGGGCAACAAAGTCATGGAAGGGTCTAAAGTAGGGGCAGCTCCATCCCGTTTTAGAGAGAGATCCCGATGGCTGAAGTCCCACATTATACTTACTTCTTTGTGTCCTGAGTACGGCCCTTCTGGAGCCACGCTTGTGTCCACAGGGCACATTACTTCTTTTTTTTTTTTTTTTTAAAGATTTTATTTATTTATTTGAGAGAGAGAGAATGAGAGACAGAGAGCATGAGAGGGAGGAGGGTCAGAGGGAGAAGCAGACTCCCTGCCGAGCAGGGAGCCCGATGCGGGACTCGATCCCGGGACTCCAGAATCATGACCTGAGCCGAAGGCAGTCGCTTAACCAACTGAGCCACCCAGGCGCCCCATCTCCTCTCCTCTTTTTTTTTTTTTTAAAGATTTTATTTATTTATTTGAGACAGAGAGAATGAGAGAGAGAGAAAGAGCACATGAGAGTGGGGAGGGTCAGAGGGAGAAGCAGGTTCCTTGCTGAGCAGGGAGCCCGATGCGGGACTCGATCCAGGGACTTCAGGATCATGACCTGAGCCGAAGGCAGTCGCTTAACCAACTGAGCCACCCAGGCGCCCCCACATTACTTCTTTTTAAAATAAATGTCTTGGGGCGCCTGTGTGGCTCAGTCGTTAAGCGTTTGCCTTCGGCTCAGGTCATGGTCCCCGGGTCCTGGGATCGAGCCCCTTTTCAGGCTCTCTGCTCGGCGGGAAGCCTGCTTCTCCCTCTCCCACTCCCCCTGCTTGTGTTCCCTCTCTCGCTGTATCTCTCTCTGTCAAATAAATAAATAAAATCTTTAAAAAAATAAAACAAACGTCTTAAGCTGAAAACCATCTTAAATGTACAGAAGAGTTGTCGGTACGAAGCACTCTTCATTCCTGAACCATTTGAGAATAATGCCCCATCCGATGTCCCCACACGCTGGCGTATATTTTTGTAAACACGGACATTCTCCTCATAACCACAATATGGCCGAGTTATCTGCTGCCTCCTAACAGATCACCCCCAAAGTCAGTGGCTTAAGACAACGAACATATACGGTCTCACAGATGCAGCTTAGCTGGATGTTTCTGGCTCAAGCATTCTGGATGCTTTTGACTCATGAGGTGGAGTCGAGCTGTTGGCCAGGGTTACATCCATCCTCAGACCTGACTGGGTCTCAAGGACCCACTTGTAAGCTCACTCAGGTGATTGTTGGAGGCTTCAGGTCCTCACAGGCCATTGGACGGGGGCCCTCAGTTTATCACTGGGAGAGGAGAGCCTCTCCATGGGGCTGCACACAATATGGCAGCTCGCTTGCAGCAGAGTGGGTTACGAGAGATAGAGGGGCGGGCAGGGAAGGGGGGAGAGAGAGAGAGAGGCCATAGTCTTTTTTTTTTTTTTTTTAAGATTTTATTTATTTATTTGAGAGAGAGAGAATGAGAGACAGAGAGCACGAGAGGGAAGAGGGTCAGAGGGAGAAGCAGACCCCCCGCTGAGCAGGGAGCCCGATGCGGGACTCGATCCCGGGACTCCAGGATCATGACCTGAGCCGAAGGCAGCTGCTTAACCAACTGAGCCACCCAGGCGCCCGAGGCCATAGTCTTTTTAAGACCTAACCTCAGAAGTGACATCTCATCTCTTCTGCCATGTTCTCACTCCAGGGGAGGGGCGACCACTGGGGACCCTCTTAGAGGCTGCCACCGTCACCATTAGGAAATTCACATGGATGCGCTCTACCATCTAGCCTCAGACCGCAGAGATCCACCGGACGCCCCAGTGCTGTCCTTCTCAGGAAAAGGACCCAGGATTCGTATCCTGTGTCCTGCACTTCATCCTCATGGCCGTTTCTCCTTCAACCTGGAACAGTTTCTCTTTGTCTTTCTCCCTTTGACTTCAGTGACTTTGACATTGTTGAAGTTGTTTCTTGAACGTTGCTCCATGTGGGTTTGTCTGATGTCTCCTAAAGGTGAGACGCAGGTTTTTGAAGGACTATCCCAGCAGCGACACGGTGGTCTCCTCAGTACCTCCTGTCAGGGTGTGCGAGTTTCCGAATGTCCCACTCCTGGCAGCTCCATCAAGGTGGCGTCTGTAAGCTCCTGTCACAGTAAGTCACTTCTTTTACCTTTGAAATTAGTGATTATATGTGGGAAGGGTTTTTAAAACTATGCAAATGTCCCCTTCCTCGTCAACCTTGTTCACTATTTATATCTGGATAGACGCACGGCTTCCTCTTTTGCCCAGTGGACCGCAAGCTGTCACTCCCGTTACCTACCGATGCTCACACCTTGCAGGGCTGGGAATTTGATTAAATAGATTTTGATGCCCTGGAGCATTATGCTGGTAAAAAATATATTTTTTAAAGAGTTTTTAATGAAATGGGAATATGCTCACAATATAATGCTGAATGGAAAAAGCAGGGTAGAATATAGAATATGATTTCAGGAGTGTTAGTAAAACAGAGTGGAAGAAAGTCTACCAGGGCGCCTGGGTGGCTCAGTTGGGGAGTGTCTGCCTTCGGCTCAGGTCGTGATCTCAGGGTCCTGGGATCGAGCCCCGAGTCTGCTTCTCTCTCTCCCTCTGCTCCTCCTCCCCACTCATACTCTCTCTCTTTCTCGCTTGCTCTCTCTCTCTCAAGTAAATAAATAAAGTATTAAAAAAAAAAAAGAAAGTCTACCAAAATGTTAAACAAGGCTAAACAGGGTTTAAATCTGGATTGTGGGATTGTAGGTCACTTTTATTTTCTTCTTTATCTTTCTATGTTTCCTGCAATAAATAATATTACTTATATTACTTACAATAAAAGATTACAAGACACAATATTACGTTTAGAATAAGAGAAAACATAAAAGTTTACAAAAAGAATCTAACACTACATAATTTGTAAGTGCCACCATCTTAGTGCCAAGCCATTCCAAGCCCCCCACAGTGGTTTCTCTATCTCCAGATGCACAGATCATCCGAACCATACCAGTTACTCTAACAACATCCCCTTTGCCCCTTCATGAGGATGGCATTTACAAAAGCACAATAGAATTAAGAGAAGAAGTGGCCAGAAGGGTGAGGTGCCCAGTGGGAAGTGATGCGCAGATGGACGACAACCTCAGGTGAGTGACTTGTGACTCTGGGGTGGTTTGTCCCCCCACCCCCACCCCGAGTGGTTGGAAGGGGCTGCAATGCACCATTCACACTCTCACACCCCCTGGAAACCACAGCATACATTTGTGGGTGGTTGGGATCAAATTAAGGGGACAGCCGTAGTCAGACAACAGAATCAGCTTAACTGACCAACTCAGGGACTAAGGGTCATAAAAAAGAAAACCTAGTGTTGTTGATAAAGTACCTTTTCATTCATTATTTCGCTGTCTCAGTGACCCCGTGGGACAGACATTATAGTATTAGCTCTCTTTCAGTAATGAGGGTGCTAACGTCAGAATTGTGTCTGACTTGCACAGATCCTGGATGGCGGGATCTGCACTCCGGTCTGGCTTTCCCAAAGTCAAGTTCTTGCCACGATCATTATTCCTACACGGAGTGATGTTCTGGCCACTGAACTCTGTCTGTGTCCTGGTCCTGAAAGCCTGAGGGTTGTCCCGTGGGCTGTTGTTCTGACCCCTTTTCAATGCTGGTGAACTCACCTTCCTTCTGGAGGATTCTTCCCTGGGTCAGTACCACTCATCGGCACAGCACAGAAGCCAAAGGGCTGTCCCAGGCCACTTTATTTATTTTTAAAGCAAAAGGGGAATTCACCGGGTAAGATGACAGGAATCCGAAGGGCGATAGGGGCTCCAGGCAGGTCTAGGGACTCATCACTGTCATGGCTCTGAGTTGCTTCAGTCTCTCCACAGGTGCATGCCCTGCAGCATGAAGATGGACACAGAAAGGCCCGGATTCACATTCCTCCAACTTGACAACACCGGCTGAAAGTCAGTATCTTCCCCAAGAGCACTGGCCAGCAAGTCCCAGGGGAGGTTCTGATTGGCCAGGCTGGGGCGGGTGACCCTTCCCAGCGCCACAGAGCCGGGTCCGCCCCCCCCTTAGTCACATGAATGGGTAATCCCCAGGGAAAGAAGGTATCTGTAGCCAGACAAAAACTCATGTGTACCAACAATCGAAGTTTTAAATCTAATTCTATTTTTTTTAAGATTTTATTTATTTATTTATTTGAGAGAGAGAGAGAAACAGCATGAGAGGGGATAGGGTCAGAGGGAGAAGCAGGCTCCCCGACGAGCTGGGAGCCCGATGCGGGACTCGATCCTAGGACTCCGGGATCATGACCTGAGCCGAAGGCAGTCGCTTAACCAACTGAGCCACCCAGGCGCCCTCTAATTCTATTTCTTGACTTACCTCCTTTAGCCAGTATCTGTTTCCTCCTTGTGAAGAAAGATGAGAAACCAAGCATATTTTACTGTCTTCCACTTCTCCTTTCCTTTACTGAATTTAGTTCTGGTATTAATCTGAGTTTTCGTACAGATTGCCTTTGTAACTTTTAAGACCATACTTAGTCTCTATTTCTTGATTTATTCCTTTTGGATGGTAAGTATCGATCTCTGCGCTGGAAAATAAAGAAATCGGTATACTTACACTTCCTTCTGTGTCTCCTGCTCACCAGCGCCCCCCCCCGATTCTTGTTAAATAATTATTCTTGCATTGTCCAGGTTCATAACATTTGCATTCTCTCTGTTACCATAATGCTCTCTCATGATTTCTCCGTAGGTTGGCTCTAAAACTTTAAACCCAATGAGATACCGTTTATACATGTTAGATCGTGGAAATATTCACTGCAGAACCAAGGCGATGTGATTCTATCTATAGAAAGAAGAAGGTGATCCTATGTCTGGAAACCCTCCGTGCTCACAGGGAATGTTCTAAACACCGGACCTGCGGACTCTCTTGTAAGTTGGCTTGCGCTTTCCTCGGTCCTAACTTATCTCGAGTGGCTATTGTTTCCTGTGTCTACTCTTTTCCTCTTCCCTAAGTTTTTTAAACATAACATTGACCAATGGAGCGATTTTAGAGGTACTACACAGTGCATTAAGTACATTCACAGTGTTACGCATCCATCACCACGATCTGGTTCCAGAACTCGGTCATCCCCAAAGGAAACCCTGTCCCCTTGAAGCAGTCAGTCCTCATTCCACCCTCCCATCAGCCCCTGGCAACGGCGAATCTTCTTTCTGTCTTTGTGTATTTATTGCAGACGCTTGAATAAATGGAATCATCCAGTATGTGGGCATTTGTGTCGGGCTTCTTTCACTTAACATAATGTTTCCAAGCATGCAACAGTAAGTACCTCATTTCTTGGATGAATGATACTCCGTCGTGTGGATATAGCACCTTTTATCTACTAAGCCGTTGACAGACAGCTGGGTGGTTTCTACCTTTAGCTGTTGTGAAGAGTGTTGCTATGAACCTTTGCAAACAAGTATCGCTTTGAGTCCCTACCTTCACTTCTTTGGGCGCATACCTTGGAGTGGAATTGCTGGGTCAGGTGGTAATTCTATGTTTCACTCGTCCAGGAACTGCCACACTGTTTCCCACAGTGGCTACACCAGTTGGCATTCCCACCAGTGATGCAGGAGGGTTCCAATTTTTCCATACCCTCTGTCCCTGCCAATAACTTTTTTTTTTTTTAAGATTTTATTTATTTATTTGACAGAGAGAGACACAGCGAGAGAGGGAACACAGGCAGGGGGAGTGGGAGAGGGAGAAGCAGGCTTCCCATGGAGCAGGGAGCCCAATGCGGGGCTCGATCCCAGGACCCTGGGATCATGACCTGAGCCGAAGGCAGACACTTAACGACGGAGCCACCCAGGCGCCCCCCTGCCAATAACTTTTTATTGTTTTTTTTTTTTAAGATTTTATTTATTTATTTGAGAGTGGGGGGGGAGAAGGAGAAGCAGACTCCCCACTGAGCAGGAAGCCCAGTGCTAGACTCGATCCTAGGACCCTGAGATCATGACCTGAGCCAAAGTCAGATGCTTAAACGACTGAGCCACCCAGGTGCCCCTATTCTCTGGTTTTTGATGACAGCCACTGTATGTGGTGTGAAGCAGTAGCATTTCCCTCGTGACTAATGATGCTGGAGCATCTTTGCATGTGCTTGCTGGTCATCGTGCATTTTCTTTGGAGTAATATCTATTCAAGTCCTTTGCACATCTTTGAATTGGATTGCTCGTCTTTCTGTTGTTTCAAAATTTTTAAAAGTTATTATTTTGTTACAGAAACATCTCCATATACAACTTTTTAAGTTCAGGTGCAGAGGGGTAGATATTCTGCATTTTCGGGAACTTGTTTGATGGGTTGGCTTTGTATAGAACCCTGCAATGAACACGACTTTTCCTTGGAACTTAAAAGCTGTGGCAGGCTGAATAATGGCCCCTCCAAAATATCCAGGTCCTAATCCCTGGACCCTGCGAATGCTACCTTGACTGGCAGATGTGATGAAGGCTCTTGAGATGGGGACCGTCCAGGCAGGCCCTAAAAGTAATCACAAGTGTCCTTACAAGAGGGAGGCAGTGGCGGGGGAGAGGGTTTTGTCTACAGAGGAAGAAGGCCAGGTGGCTGCTGAGACAAGATACCACACCGCTGGCTTAGAAGATGGAGGAAGGCACCAGGAGCCAAGGAATCATGGAATGCATTTCTAGAAGCTGGAGGACGCCGGGCAAAGGAACCGGTTCTCTGCTAGGGCTCCTGGACGGAGGTTGTCAGACGCCTTGACTTGCACCTGGTGAAGCTGATTTTAGGGTTCTGACCTCCCGAACTGCAAGAGAATACTTCTGTGTTGATGTAAGTCCCCGAGTTTGTAGTGATTTGTTACAGCGGCCACAGGAAGCTGATACAGAAGCCCGGCTCCATCTACAGCATCCCGCAGTGGCTGACCCTGCTGGATTTTCTGCTCTCTAGAAGCCTTTCACGTTTGCCCTTTATCTGCAGAAGGCTGAAATCTCACCAGGAAGTGTCTCGGTAGGTTTTCTTCACTCATCTTGTGTGGCATTGGAACTCTCTAGTCTTTGAGGTCATGGCTACCCACCCCCAGCACCCTAAATGCAGCCCTTTGATAAACCACCTGGTGACGTTCCTGTCCCTGGGGCTGGCATGGCGTCTGTGACACGGAGCCTGGAGCTTCTTTCAGCCTCCCAGGAAGTCCCTGGAAGTGGTGACCTCTGCTGTCTCGGACCACAATATCTGTCCATTCACTGGTGCATTTTTCTCTCTCTCTTTTTTACTTCGGACATTTCGAATCACTGTGACAGTAGAGACTAGTGCCGAGAGCTCCCATACGTCCATGATCTGGATGCAACAGCTGTCAGGGTTTTTCTTTTCCTCTCTTTGCTTTGCTCTCCCTTCCCCACCCTCCCCTTTGTTAAGTCAGCACCGTTTCTTTTTAAAATCAATTCTTCTCAATAGTTAATGTGCTAGCAGATCGCCTGGGGATCTTGTTAAATGCCAGATTTTGATGTAGCAGGTCTGTGATGGGGCCTGAGAACTGGCATTGTGGACAAGTTCCTGGGTGAAGCTGATGCTGCTGGTCCCTGCCAATAACTTTACCTTTCCACCTGAGCACATGGCGTGGGATGTGAGGGATCGGTGCACCTCTGAAAGAATCAAAGATGCATGAGTGTATTTTCCTGGTTTACATGGAGTTCTAACTTTTTTCTTCTCCTGAAATTATATCTGTTCCTTAAAGGCAGGGACAGTTTCAGCTCTTTCCCGTGAATCATAACTTTCTCGTATGGAGCTTCTTCTCCTACCTTTTCACTACAGGACCTTCCCACTGACCTGAGATTAAGAAATTCTTCTCTTTATCTGTACTCCTACATTCACTGCAGTATTATTCACAGTGGCCAAGATGTGGAAATAACCCACATGGCCGTCAACAGACGAACGGATGAAGAAACTGTGCTCTATCCGTAAAATGCAATATTATTCAGCCTTCAAAAAGAAGGGCATCCTGCCATTTGTGACATGGTGAAACTGGAGGGCATCGTGCTAAGTGAAATAAGCTGGTCACAGGACAAGCAGTGCGTGGTTGCACTTCCGTGAGATGATCTAAAATAGCCAAGCACATAGAAGCAGAGAAGGGAGTGGTGGTTGCCATGGCCGGGAGGAGGGCGGAATGGGGGATCATTATTCCATTGGTATAAAGTTACAGTTATGCAAGAGGAGTAAGTTCCAAAGATCGGCTGTACAACATACTGCCTCTAATCATCAATACTGTATCGTGCACCAAAAGATTTGTCAAGAGGGTAGATCTCCTGTTAAGTGTTCTTACCTAAAAAACCCAAAACCCAAAACAAAAAACAAAAGGGACAGAAGGAAACTTTTACGATGATGGTTTCATGGGTGTATACACATGTCCAAACTTGTCAAATTGTATACCCTAAAAATGTGCAGGTTTTTGTGTAGCAGGCATACCTCAATGCAAGTGTTAAAAAAAGAGCTACTTCCCTTCTGACTGCCTTGCTCAAGCCGCCGGCTCGCTCTGCTCGGATTCCCCAGCGCTGTGGCCCCGGACAGTGGCGGGAGCAGGGTTTAGGCAGCAGGGGACCTGGGCGAGGCTCTCAGGAGCCCCTTCTGTTAGCCACGATTGCTTTGGTTTCTCATCTACCCAACTTGGGAGCCAGCTGCCCTCAGGTTCCCCTCCACACTGCAAGATCCAAGATCCAACAACTCCGTGGTTGGTCTCCTTTCAACAGGTGGGGCTCGGGCTCGGGGAGAGAGCTGCCTCCATCACAAAGGAGCTGAACCCATCTCCTGGGAACGGGCTGTGCAAATCCAGCCCTGAGAAGGCACAGCAAGAATATCTTCCCCCGAATGATGAGCATCGTTGGGTCCTACTCAGGATTTAATGGCCCATCCACAGAGCTCTGCCAGGCCCCTGGCAGGTGCAGAAGACAGGAATGTTCCCTGACCTTGCAGAGCTGCCACCCGGCCTGAGGAGAAACAGATTCTAAGTTTCTCTGCACCCGTGGGCAGCCAGGAGCTCCCGGCGGCCTCTGTGGCCTTCTCTGCAGTGCTGGAGACATAATGATGCTTAGTAAATATTTGGTGAATAAACCAGTGTGGTTTCACATTCTTCTTCAAGAAATGGTTTGGGACTTGTGAAAAAATATTGCTGAATAATTAAAAGAGACTATTGTTCAAAACTCAGAGGATGATTAGACCTCTGAGGAGTGTTTTCTCTGGGTCCAGAAAGAAATGTGAGAATTTCATTTGGACCCTGGAGTGAATGCAAGGAGATGGTGGCTTTTCTGAAATTAGAGCAGAAAGCTATGGGGGCGCCTGGGTGGCTCAGATGGTTAAGCATCTGCCTTCAGCTCAGGTCATGATCCCAGGGGCCTGGGATCCAGTCCTGCATCAGGCTTCCCGCTCAGCAGGGATCCTGTTTCCCCCTCTGCCTGCCACTTTCCCTGCTTGTGCTCTCTCTCTAATAAATAAATAAAATCTTTTAAAAAAAGTTAAAAAAAAAACCACAAGAAAGCTATGAGGAGAGGAAGTGGAGATGAATGGATATCTCGATGAAATATTAAGAGAGATGGAGGAGACAAGGAAGATTGACAAGGGACCTAGAAGACAATAGAATCATTACAATGTCTCTGGAAGCCTCCATGGTGGAACTGACTTTATGGAAAATCAAATCAGCCATAGGGAGGACAATCTTAAAAAGCTTCCTTAGAAGGCAGAAGAAAAGGATAAAGACAGAAAATATGGGACAATAGTGGACACGATGGTGGGTCTTGAAGAGAGAGGGGGAGAGTTGGCACCAAGGCAGAAATTAAAACCACACTGTGTAGGTCCAAAGGCCCCTTCCTTCCTGACCAAGCCAATGGACTTGGTCTAAGTGGTGACTTCAATAAATTCTGGATAATGTGTTGAATTACATGGGAAAAGAGCAAACCAAATAACCTGCAAGGATCCAGGAAGGAAAAAGCAAAGTATCTAACAGGTGACCCAGCAAGGAACAAGTCAGGCTTGGCTTCAGACTTCCTTCCTTTGCAGCAACAGACCAATGTCTACAGAGTCGCGGCCAAGTTCTTTTCTGTTCTTCCAAAGACTCTTACAACATAGATAGGCAAACTGTTTGTGTCTGTGAGATAGGGCTAAGAAGAGTACTTCCTTACAGGATTATGAGAGAGCTAAATGAAATATGCATGTGTTTCAATCTTTAGAATATTCCCTGGCATTGGGGTTTCCGTTCATTCTGATGGCTTTGGGGCTTTTGATAAATGAAGATGTCAACCTCATTTGGGCCACATTGAGTGGAGGGGCCCAGAGGGCTTCTGGATCTCTGCATTTGGAGCTCAAGAGAGAGGTCTAGGGTGGAGATGGTGACCAAAGCCAAGGGGATTGATTAAACCACCAGGAAAGTGTGTTCAGTGCAAGAAGAGATTGCAGGAGGAGACCACCATTGGGAAGTGGACGGAGGGGGACCTGGGGAGGGTCTGAGCCCAATCTGAGGTTTTTTTTTTAAAGATTTTATTTATTTATTTGACAGAGAAAGACACAGCGAGAGAGGGAACACAAGCAGGGGGGAGTGAGAGAGGGAGAAGCAGGCTCCCTGCCGAGCAGGGAGCCCGATGCGGGACTCGATCCAGGGACTCCAGGATCATGACCTGAGCCGAAGGCAGTCGCTTAACCAACTGAGCCACCCAGGCGCCCCTCCAATCTGAGGTTTAATGGGGATTCTGTTCTTGGCTGTGGAGCCCACCTGGCAATCAAATATCTCCTTTTCCGGAAAAGCCCAGAAACTGCCCCAAATCGTGGGGGTACCAAATTGCCTACTGCAGACAGACCTCCCTGTAAGCCCATCCCCTGCCTGGGAGCATGGGCTTGGGCCCTGACTTTTACTGGGGACTCAGCTGATCAATCACCAATAACTCCAGGCTCTTGATTTTTCACTCCCCTCTTGTCAATAAGGACGACTCCCCTCTCCTTCCAGATGAAGGCAGACTAATTGGGACTAGGACGTTCAGTGTTTGGAGATTGTATGATTAGGGAAATGTACAAATTCAATTTTGCCTGGCCAGATTCAATTCTGCTCTAATCAGAGAGACAGAGAGAAGACACCAGTATGACAGTGGAGGGGACATGACTTTGTTTCTGGCTATTTCAGTGTGTCCCCTTGCAAACATTTCCCGGGGATGCTGAGGCCTCTCGACTTGCTCTGCTGGGGCTGTAGGAAGGGTGAGGGTTTGATGGAGCTTCCTTATCTGATCTCCATATGTCAATACCCTCCTTTCCTGTAGAGCCCTTGTGAGGCCTCTGAATGGTGCCTTGGGCGAGCTTAGAACACGATGGTGAATAGTGTTGATGGGGACACTCATCCGTCTGCTCCGCTCTGAGCTGGTACGGCTTTGCATCCGGCCAGCCGCTGTGGGTCCAGGGGTGAGGCGAGCACCTGGTGCTTAGTGAGGTTGGCCATGAGCAGCCATGGTTGTTCGGGCCTCATTCTGCGAAGGTTCTAGAGCCAGAAGCTGCAGGGAATGTGTGAGATCCTGGGCCCAGAGACGAGAAATGCTCTGGAGTCGGGGAGGGGACTGCTGTTTGGGAGTATGGGGGACGGACTCAGCATGTTGAAGCCGAGGTGACATCCAGGAGTGCTTACTCTCTGCAAGGTGCCTGTAAGCCCTTCCTTACTTCCTCTTCGCTAGAACCTCAGGATATTGAGGGAGTGCTAGAGACCCCTTTTGCAGATTGGGAAACTCAGGGCACCCGATGGGAGGGGATGGGGCGGCGGGGGGGTGGGACCAGGACGCAAAGGCAGGCCTGTCCAAGGGCAAAGTGCCTCGGGCATTAGCGCTCCACGATCTCCTTTCAGATCCCAAGGGGCCGTGACTGCAGGTGCCCTTCTACTCATTTACTGTTGAGGAACCGGAGGCTAGAGGGGGTCGTGTCATTCAGCTCCTCGCATGGCCCTAGGCACCTGTTCTTTCTTTTTGCAGGGAAGTGCAGGGTGTTGACGCAGGCTCCTCCTTCCCACTCTCCCTGGGGACCTGGGGACCTGACTCAGAGGTGTCAGGAGCACCGTTCCAGTGCCGAGTCATTCCTGGGGATGAGCATTAACCCCGCTGAGTGCTGGCCCTGGGATCATCGCTGTAGCTTCATTGCTGTGTCTTTTGAAATTTAATGACCTATGTCCGACAACAGATAATTTGCAAATTTGACATAATCAGCACTGGCCAATTGCGTTCAATTATTTGTTAATAAACACGAGGACCCCTGGCTGGAGTTTTATGCTTCCAAATTTGAAATGAAAAAACCGGGAGGCCGAAGAGAGCACACTATCTGCCTTTTCTTTTGCTGAATATTTAGAAAGAACTTTATTTCGGTAGGGCCCAGGAACACCCAAGGTTTACTTGCTGCTGTTCATTTGCATTGTGAATTTTTTTTTTGAGTAGTAATTATCTATAAAAGGTCAAATATTTGCTTTATCTATATAATTCAATTTCCCAAAGGCCTTTGGGATTCAAATTAACGCCCTTGTAATATCTTCATCGAAAAGGAAGATTAATTATGCTTACATGGAACCTAATTTGGCTTATCAGACCTTTAATATGGCTGTGATCGTGAATGCATTTAAATTTAGGATTACGCGGGTGATCCCGGTCCCTTATTTGGGAGACTTTTACTATTTGTCATTATTTTTATGCATATCATTTTTCCCGCCTGCTCGGGAAAATTAAAATGTCGGAACTGAAAGAAATAAACATTATGTATTGACATTGGTAATTATGTTTTGGTATTTAAAGATGCATAAAAAACTGCACACAGGACCTCAAATATAAATTTGCAGTTAATGCCTTCAGATGGAAACTGGAGCTCTTTTACTTGACTCACCAAATAGGGAACAGGCTGTCCCTGGGGTGGCTGCCTGCTGTCGTCATCGGTGGCATCTCGGCCAATAAGGTAATTTTTATTGGCACTCAAGGATGCTGCAAGTTCTGAGTGGCCCCAGGAACTCTCGATTTAGGGTCAGGAGCCTGAGGTTTCTCTTTGTCACTAAAGTGCTGTGTGATCGTGACCAATTACAGGTCCCTTCTGAGCCCCAGTTCTGATCTGCGAACAGTAGTCACTCACTAGGTTCTTTCTCACTGGACTGTCAGCTCCTCAGTAGCAGGGCCTTTCTTACGTAGTCTTGACCTCTAGACTGGTCAGTACAGCATCTGCTACATACAGGCTATGGGTAGGGCTTTGACCCCTAACAAGGGCAGTGGGCTCTTGGGGATAGTAGGGATTGTGAGTCAGAGTTTGGCTTTGTATCAGTTAGTTACTGCTGCATAACAAATCATAGCAAGTCTTACCAAAACTTAGTGGCTTAAAATGAGAACTGTCTATTCTTTTTCAAACTCTGCAGCTCACCTATGTTATTCTGCTGATCTGGGCTGGATTGACTAGTCTTGGCTGGGCTTGTTCACAGATCTTAGGTCAGCTGGCAAGTGGGCTGGGGGCTTGCTAGTCTAGAATGGCCTTGAGTGGGATGCTTCGTGGATTTGCTCATTCTCTGGCCAACTCACCCAGACTTGTTCTCATGGCAGAACAGGAGTTTGAGAAAAGGAGTTGAGTTTGCAGAAATATGCAAATGCCTTTTCAGGCTTCTCCTTGCATCTGGTTTGCTGGTGTGTCATTGGCCAAAGTCGTGGATGCAGCCACGCCTAGAGTCAATGTGGGGGGCACCACCCCCGGGGACGGATACAGGGAGGCAGCAAAAGTTAGGGCCAGTGATGCAAGCAGTCTACCATGGGCTTCATCCTGGCCCTGCCACTTACTAGGTCTGGGAACAGAGGCACAGGACTTGAAACTCTCCATCTCAGCCTCTTCACCTGTCAAATCGGGCAGAGATGCAGTGAGGTTTAAATGAGATAAATGCATTTTAAGTATTTGGTACCGGATCCATGGTGGCTGCTATGAAGGCTTACGAAGGTTCAAGGATAAATGTCCAAAGATGAGCACTGTGGGTTTGTTTGTAAGAATGGAAAATCAGAAAAATACTACCTACCCAAATGTCCATTAGAAGGTGCCTAGTTAAATAAATCATGGCACACCCACTTAATAAAACGTTTTTTTTAGACCTTAGGTCAATAGATCAATATACTGGCATGGAAGGAAGTTCATGATAGATTGCTGAGTGGAGAAAAAAAAAGCACATTTCAGCACAACTTACAATGTATGATACCATTGTGTGTGTGTGTGTGTGTGTGTGTGTGTGTGTGTGTGAATGACATGGCAGCCGGAGGTTTGTTCCTGTTTATAGAAATGTCTGGAAAGGGGCCCCTGGGTGGCTCAGTCGTTAG